CTACTACTACTACTACTACTACTACTACTACTACTACTACTACTACTACACGTTTCAATCACACGTTGATCTCCATGATGAGAAAAAACACGTTTCGTTGGGCCTCCGCGCTTTCCCTGGTTGACAAAAAAGCAAATACGGTCCTTGCAATAGAGCGTTGTCACGTTCGGCCTCGCTTCGACGCTGCACACCCCGGGATCACGGAGAAATCCCCAGTTCAAGACACCAGGGTCAGGGTGGTGACCAAAACCCACCACCTACATTCGAAAACCCCAAAATATGGTCAAACAATGTCAAACAAACACCATGTGCTTCTATAATCTTAGAATCTACAGAATCTATCGTGCCAAACAGGTCCTTTACTGCTCGAGTGAATAGAGGTTGAATCCCCTTCAAAGGCGTGTTAGAGGAACCTATGTGGGGACCAATCAAAGTGGTCACAACAAATCCAACAAAAGTTTTACCCCCAAACAACTCTTCGCGTCCGATCTTCCACGGCACGCGCTCCGAATCAGCGCTCGGCTCGGCTCAGCGCCGCCCTTTGACTCGTTGTGACGAAACGGTCTCTGAAAGTCAACGCACTGGTCCAGCCGGGGCCGGAACCTCCGCTCGTCCGGTGGACGGGGGACGAAACATGATGGATGGGGTTGCGGAGATCCGACTGACTCATTGAGGCAATGTGACCTTCACAGGAGGTCACAATCGGCAGGTTTTCCAGGTGGCAAAACCATGGTCTTGATGACATGTCTTGGTCAAGAAACTGACTCTTCATGCCGATGGAATGCAAAGACTGGTCGAGGTCATGGTCTTGACTCCAGGAGCGAGATTCGTAAACCCTAGCCTTGGGATCCGATTCCCTTTGAACAAACTAGAAAGGAGCCATAAACCTATATTTCAACGACTGGTCGCTTTCATCATTTGTGAAACCAAAGGAAATGCGTGCAACAAAATAAACTCACCAGTACGTGCGAGTACGTGCCTTCAAAACGCTACATTGAGCCAAACAATTTCTTCAGAGTTCCTTTACCTTACCTCCGGTCCCAAAGATGTTCACCGGTGTTCACCGGTCTCGACTGGATCTACCGCTCACACGGCACCTGGAAGGTGCCTTCCGCAAAGCGGGCAGGTGCCGCTAAGGGGACATGCGGGGGTCGCGGGGTCAAACGAGAGGATTGATCTTCTGCTTCATGAAAACAACCTGAAGCTGTCCAAGGATTTTGTTCAGCTATGCCCGCGCACCGTGCGCGCGCACGTGCAGTCGCCGGGAAGAATGAGGTCGACCACCCGAAGGTCGCACCGCACAGTGAGGGCGCCGCCGAGCTCGGCAAGCCGAGGCAGTACGGGTGTTTTGTGTGCGTGGCAGGGGAAGGAGTGGCAGCCAGGGGTCCTGAAAGCCTCAAAGACCAACAAAAGCACAAGAAGGCAATGAAGGATTCCAACATATTCCAAGGTGTTTGATCTCTTTCATTTCCTTCCAAGTCTTCCCCTCCAGACCTACAGTGACCTACAAGTCCCAGTGTGCTTTTCAAAGCGCCTCCGCATCCACTTGTTCAAACCTGGAGGGGTAGCAACATCAGTCTGGTTTACCAGACTTTGGGACCGGACCACACTTCTCTATTAGGTTGGAGGCCATCGCCTTAGGTTGGAGGCCATCGCTCTTAGGTTGGAGGCCATCGCTTTAGGTTGGAGGCCGTCGCTCTTAGGTTGGAGGCCATTGCTCTTAGGTTGGAGGCAATCGCTCTTAGGTTGGTAGCCATTGCTCGTAGTAAACCTGGTTTATCAGACTTTGGGACCACACTTCTTTCTCGTGCTTTGCTTGCAGCCTCCTCAGCCGTCTGAAGGGCGATCTCCCAAGGGTGGAGAAGCTACAGTCCACATGCGCATCGCTGGCTGGGGTTGCCAAAAGACAGCCCTGTTGAAGGCAGTTCAAAACAAGTCATCACCCAAGTCAACTGGATGGCTGATGACTTTTCGTCAAGAAACCGCAAAAGTCGCAACATAATATAGCATGTAAGGGAAATAATTCTTTAAAACTCGTTCACTTGCGGGAGCTATAGCAGCATATAGCAGCTACATAGCCTGTAATATATGTTTGTATAAGCCAATGGGAAGATGCCTACAAGACTTGCAGTATCTGACTGCCCAACACTTGTGCAAAATTATATTTGGAACACAAGCCGGAATGCCCCTCAACTGCCTGACCTGCAAGTGTCAACAAACCTCCACTTGTCCAGAGCAACATTCCGGACTGAGATAAAGGACCAAACTAAGATTCTCTGTTGCTAGTGTATATATATATATTACTCCTTTAATAAAGGATCTTCAAATAGGTTAAGTATAAATTACACGTGTATACTTGAGATAATTTAACAGTACATCCACCTGGAGGGGGCTCCTCAATCCCGTTCTCCATTTGTGGGCAAGAGTTCTTTTGCATCACATGACATGTAGAGCAACATGCACTAAAAGACAAACACATGGGGTGACCCATCGTGACCCGAATTCAGACCTCAGCCCCACCTCACAGAGAGTGATTGACTGGTGATTGTGTACATTCTACACTACACCAAAACTGAACCACTGAAGGCCTTTTGCTCCATCTGACACCCCAGTCAGCCGCCGCGCCCCAAAGACAAAGGCGTCGTGAGATTGGGAGGTGTAAGATTGCGCCAGCTCTATGGCAATGACATTCACATCTGGAGTCTTCACCTCCAACGTTCTGACGCGAAGGCACCAGACCCGTCCAGTTTATGACGGTCTGACGAATTTTGTTGCAGAGTTGCGCTTGCGCTCCTGTTGTGGTGCAAAGGCGCTGGTAGTTTGGTAAGAAAACAAGATTCGAATCACAAAGTCCTGTGTGGCCAAAGGCTTCCAAACATGCAACACATAGAGTCATAGAGTTATCCACAGTCGCTTGCAGGAGGCGACGAAAGAAGCACTCCTCCCGCCGCATGGCCTTCACTTCGCAGCTTGCCGCCTGCTCTGAGGTGATCAGGTTCGGCTGCCAAGACTTGCGGGATACAATTGCTCGCAGATTTCGGAGTTGGACCCAATGATGTCCTTTTGGTAATAAAATAGAAGGGTCGATCTGGCATCATATGCCCATATTTTTGTTTTGCTCACTTGTATACAGTAGGGGTATCCCCTCTATTTTTGTCAACCAACGAAGGGCATAAGAGGCAATCTATTTGGACCTCTTGGGCTTCGGAGTTGGCCTTCACCGAGGCCAACCATGTCGCCCTTGTCATGAAATGGACTTTGGAACCTAGGTGGCCAAGTACTACCCGGCTGAGAAAGCAGAAAAACATCGCCAGGACCCACCATCCGTGCCTGGACACTCTAAACCATCTGCTCTAAGGGATCGCTCACCAAAAAAAAGCATGGCATGTGAACAGAGACCGGAAGATCCCCAGTTTTGAGCCCCTGGGCCCGCGTCCCTGTTAGGGCATTGAGGATCAAAAGAACGAACACCCGCTCAGACCAGCACGCATCGATGTCGCATCGAATGGCAGGGGTACCATGTAGCTTGAAGAAAAGAAACATCCATGTCCACATATGTTCACAATCCAAAGGCCTGGGCCAGAAAATGTAATATCCCACTATATAGTTAAGACATGTTAGGATTTAATTAGAGTCTCATGTGGTTAAGTTCTGGTTTACATATAATACAACCCACATGAAACAAACCTCAGCAATACCAACTATCCTAGGTGTATGTGTTCATAGGTTTCCTAGCAGGTTTTTGATGGTTTTTCTTTTCATGGTGTTCCACAGCCCAGCGCACTTGCTCCTACACCCCGGTCCCTCGCGCCGGAGGTGCCTACTTGGTGACGTCGCGGCGGAGGTTCCTTGGGATCCCGTCGTTTGAGACGAGACGACGCAAGCGGCAAACGAAGCAGGTCGATGGACACGGTCGAGTTCGGTGGTCTCGGAGTCGAATTTGGGGATTCGGATGGATCAGGTGACACGGATTCCCAAACGTCTGCAAACCTGTCAATATCGATTCAACTAAAATTTATCAAAGTTTTGTTGGTGTTCTTCCGGCCCACGTGGGCAAGCTGAACGGCCTTGTCGCCCCATGTCGCCTAAGCTCCTAGCGGTCCTAGCAGCTGGACAGCCTTTGGAGATAGGTGCCCTTGTGTTCCATAGTCCTAGTCTGTCCGCTTCGAGTTGGTCCGGAAGCTGCAGGATCTAGCACCAGGATCCAGCACCACCTTGCGGGTTGTCGTATTAGCAACTTGCGCTTCGAATGCGCTTCGATGCTAGTGAATAAGCCATCAAACCCAATTTGGGTCCTATCTGTCACCATGGAGCTCCTCAGAACTGAAAAATTAATTTGTTGTCTGCCACTCATGGTACCGAACCTCCTTGATCTACCGAGGGGGCCTTTGTCAGGGATGCTGCGGGATGCTCAGGGGCTCGTCCAAATCTTTGACCCCGTGTTTCCGCTTCAACAAACTGATCAACACAACCAACATGAATTAAAAGTGAGCTAGGGATGTTCACCTGGTAAGCACCCATTTCGTCATGACAATGAGTTCTCCGGGCATCTCCGGACCTGTGTTCACCTGTAATGGCACAAACATCCGTTCGGTGTTTGGCCATATTATCTCCTGACTCACTAACCCATTTCAAATTTCTGGCAAGGCACGCAGTGGTCCCTTGCACCAACAACCGTGTGGCATTGCTCACGTTGGCATTCGTGTTGTTGGTTGTTCCATTCGTGGAGTGGTTCGTCTGCGCTGCATGGAAGACGCCCTCCGGGAAGTAGGGATAGAACCTCATCTTGAGGGATGCAGGGATGCAGGGATGTTCGATTCACAAACAATTCCCCAAGGATTCCCAAGGCGTCCCAAGGTACACGTGAGTGGACTTGTGCTCAAGCACATGGCTTTGAAGTGCGAAGGATGCTCAGTTCATAACACTCTGAAGACACCACGTGGTTTCGTTTAAGGCTGTGGAACGACGGGCCTTTTCCGTTTTGGGGGAACGCGGCTCTGAGACGACCTTTCGGGGCGGAACTGTCGGATCACCGAGAATGGAGCGAATTGGCCTTCTGACCACGACGAATCGTGCTTGAAACAAACGGGTGCACGACCACCCATCTTAGGTTCAGCGGACATGTCACATGTCTGTAGACTCAATGTAGACACATGGAATCCAGTGACAGTGACATTGAATACAGTGCCATATATATAATATGTAATATGTACTTTTGTGTGTCGATGTGCCGAGCTTTACTGGCGGTTGCTGAAAGATCTCTCCATATCTCTCCTATGCTAGAGTTTGGGGTCGGTATCTGTCCAGCTGGCTGGCTTTGGGGGTCTTGTCAATCTCCTGCTTCGTGCGATTCTGGGTGGACTTGGACAGCCACCACTGCCACTCCGACTCGGTGCCAATTAGTAAGATTCAATGGTCAAGCCGCAAACCCTTAGTTTCTGGATATCTTGCATTTGATGTGTGTCATGACCTGTACTTATGAGATTCGCAAGGAAATTGAGCCTTTGTGCGCTGCTTCAGATTTGGAAACGAACTCATTCTACTCACATCAAATGGTTTTCATTTTTTTCGCTATTAGGTTGGAGACCATCGCTATTAGGTTGGAGGCAGTACTCTATCTTTTCGCCAGTCCCAGGGCACTTCCCCACGTTGAAGTCGCAGGAGGGGTCCTCCAAGACCGGCTGATCGGGATACTTCCTGAGTCGCGGAGGACGCCGGTCGTTGGAGACGAGACCGGCCACGACCACTGACGAGGAAAGACCCAGCTCAGCCTCTCTGCATAGAAATTCTCTCAATTGCTTGCGGTTGGCTGATCAAATCAATCCCTTTCTTGGAATGCTCACCTAGTATTCTCCAAACTTCACCAAAACACAGCAGCCACCGTTTTCAGCCTGGTCCTAGCTTTCGTTCCAGCCCTCAACTTGGGGCTGGAACGAAACACATGAAGCGAAAGGACATGCTTGAACACACTCTGACATTGGTTTGCAGTTAACTCAATTCCCAGGAAAAATGGCGATGGAGCCGAAAGGTGAAAGAGTCGGAGCACTTGAAGGTGTTTTAACAAAGGAGTTGTTCACTTGACTGCGGAAGCTAGTTACTGCATTAGCCCTTTACTGCGAGAACGGTAAGGTGCAAGGGTCCGAAGAACAGAACTGTTTAACAAACGCACTAGCACTTTACCAAAGCTAAGGAAACCTCTTTTGGGGGGATATCATGCAAACAACCACCATGGAAACAACAAAAGGAAAAGTGGAGTCACAGCGTGTGCAAAAGTTTTCATCCGCGCAGGTACAGAAGTTTGCGTCCAAACTTCCATCCAGTCGATTTCCCTAGCTTCGTTGGCGTGACTAGGAAATCGACCGTCACGCCCCCTGCGACTTAAAAGTTGAGAAAAACAGAAACTCTTAGTTACAGAGCTGGACACACACAGAACGCCGATATCGGCGCTCTGGGGGAACTTACTAATCACCTCAAAAGCCTTAGAACGGAAGGAAAGAAAGACAGAAAGGAAAACGCAAAGGAGAGAGAGAAAGATAGGTGTAGTGACAAGGCCCACTAGTTACGAAACCTGCTAGTTACTGACTACTTAGCCGAAGGAATTAAATGCAGTAGTTAGCGAGCGGGACATACGTCTTAAACCGCCCGGGTAGCTAGGAGTAGAAAAGGAGAAACAGAAGGAAAGGTACCGACACACAAGTGTGTCGAGTACCATTTCCTTCTGTTACCCTCGATAGAGGGTGGGATAGAAGCACGAATTAGGGTGCAAGGTGAGGGGGTGTGTGTGTGTGTGTGGAAGTGCAAGTGTGGACAGACACAAGGAACCGTAACGTGTCGGATCTCAAAGTGGTCGTGGTTGGAAATGTGAGACAGTACATTCTTGAAAGTGAAATCAAGCTGCAAACCATGAACGTGAATCTGATCAAAGAGAGTGGAATTGCCGTGAAGCCCGGCGGCATAAGTTGCAGGGAGTACAGTGGTGAAACAAAATCCGTTAAGAGAATCCAAGTTCTGGTGGGGACGGTCGAAGCAGTTACACGATTTCCGGAATGAAAACAGCGCCTCCTTGCGGAGGATCACACCCAGCACCCAAGTGGGACGACTGAGCGAGTCACACTCTGACATTGGTGTGCAGTTACTGTAACTCAATTCCCAGGAAAAATGGCGATGGAACCGAAAGGTGAAAGAGTCGGAGCACTTGAAGGTGTTTTAACAAAGGAGTTGTTCACTTGACTGCGGAAGCTAGTTACTGCATTAGCCCTTTACTGCGAGAACGGTAAGGTGCAAGGGTCCGAAGAACAGAACTGTTTAACAAACGCACTAGCACTTTACCAAAGCTAAGGAAACCTGTTTTGGGGGATATCATGCGAACAACCACCATGGAAACAACAAAAGGAAAAGTGGAGTCACAGCGTGTGCAAAAGTTTTCATCCGCGCAGGTACAGAAGTTTGCGTCCAAACTTCCATCCAGTCGATTTCCCTAGCTTCGTTGGCGTGACTAGGAAATCGATCGTCACGCCCCCTGCGACTTAAAAGTTGAGAAAAACAGAAACTCTTAGTTACAGAGGTGGACGCACACAGAACGCCGATATCGGCGCTCTGGGGGAACTTACTAATCACCTAAAAAGCCTTAGAATGAAAGGAAAGAAAGACAGAAAGGAAAACGCAAAGGAAAGAGAGAAAGATATATAGGTGTAGTGACCAGGCCCGCTAGTTACGAAACCTGCTAGTTACTGACTACTTAGCCGAATGAATTAAATGCAGTAGTTAGCGAGCGGGACATCAGTAGTTAGCGAGCGGGACATACGTCTTAAACCGCCCGGGTAGCTAGGAGTAATTAGAAAAGGAGAAACAGAAGGAAAGGTACCGACACACAAGTGTGTCGAGATCCCCTGTAAAATTCACACGACAACCCAGGGGGGACCATATTGTCGTTACAGATTGGGCACCCCAGGTTCAACCCAACCAATCCACTACAAAATCCACCCCCCAAGAAAGAAACCTTAAGTCTATAATATTGGGTTGTGGGTTGGCCATAGCAAGCTCACAGAAATTTATCAGAAAAGTGCACTCTCTATAAAATCAACCCCTCCAAGTTGCCACCGACAGTCCAACAAATGCAAAACCATATCCCGATGCATTTCCCGATGCATTTCCCGATGAGAAACCCGATGAGTTTTCCGATGCGCTCACCTTTTCTATCCTTTTTCCTGACAGAATCTACAAAAATTCTAACCCATTTTGTAACCCATCTGACTCCTTTTCTAACCCATTTTGAAACGAAACCAGTGGGTGAGTGCACATGCTCGAGTCAACGGAAAGATATGTAAGAACATGACGTTTCTATAAAATCAATCCCCCCAAGTAAATTATGTTTTTGCTAAAAATCTCAAAAACTACCCTGATCACTCTACAGATTTGACCACCCAGGTGGTTCATTTTGTAGAAACCCAATTTTTTCTCTACAAAATGGTCATTTTGAGCACCTGGGTGCTTTGAATCTGTAGAGGAAATTTTGCAGGGGATTGTCGAGTACCATTTCCTTCTGTTACCCTAGATAGCGGTGGGATAGAAACACGAATTAGGTTGCAAGGTGGGGGGGGGGTGTGGAAGTGCAAGTGTGGACAGTAGCTTCACTGGTCTCAATTCCACACATGGAAATGCAGCACATGGAAATGCAAGTGGAGGTACTTCGTAAGCCCGACGGCATCAAATTCGGTCAATCCAGTAGTGAAATTAAAGCGGTTAAGAAAATCCAAAGAGAGGTGGAGAACGGTGGAGTCAGTTACACGATTTCCGGAATGAAAAACGCGCCTCCTTGCGGAGAATCACACCCAGCACCCAAGTGGGACGACTGAGTCAGTCACACTCTGACATTGGTTTGCAGTTAACTCAATTCCCAGGAAAAATGGCGATGGAGCCGAAAGGTGAAAGAGTCGGAGCACTTGAAGGTGTTTTAACAAAGGAGTTGTTCACTTGACTGCGGAAGCTAGTTACTGCATTAACCCTTTACTGCGAGAACGGTAAGGTGCAAGGGTCCGAAGAACAGAACTGTTTAACAAACGCACTAGCACTTTACCAAAGCTAAGGAAACCTGTTTTGGGGGGATATCATGCGAACAACCACCATGGAAACAACAAAAGGAAAAGTGGAGTCACAGCGTGTGCAAAAGTTTTCATCCGCGCAGGTACAGAAGTTTGCGTCCAAACTTCCATCCAGTCGATTTCCCTAGCTTCGTTGGCGTGACTAGGAAATCGACCGTCACGCCCCCTGCGACTTAAAAGTTGAGAAAAACAGAAACTCTTAGTTACAGAGCTGGACACACACACACACAAATCTCTCAACTCTCAACAATGTCTAAATCACTCTAAATCCATCTGGGTAACCGATCGACACCGATTTTCCCGCCGTTTCCGCGACACTGTCCGACACCGCCGCGACGGCCAAGTCTCTTCTGAAACATTTTGTTCACTTTGTCCACCCGCTTCTGGCAGGCCACCGGATCATCGATGTCATCCTGTCGTTTCGTGTGAAGAAGGAGGTGTATGTTGGAGTGAAACGGTTTCCGTGCCCCAAGAAGGAGGTGAAACAAGTTGTTTTTAAAAGTTACACAATTTGGTGGTTCGGTGCCTTCGTAATTAGATCGACGGTGTTCTTTATATTGTTCCACACACATGCACCTGACAAAGGATGCGACCACCGGTCCTGTTCGCCTCAAATCCTTGCTACAAAATGACGCTCAGTGGGTGACCTCTCCCTACCAGGCCAACGGCCCCGAGGCAGCACACCCTCTGAGGCGACCTTTGCAGAAGACTAAAACTAAAGCCATCATGCCCAACAAAGACACAACAACAGCCCAATTACAGGTGTTTTACTATATATCTTTTTTCGAGAACACCGGAGGTTTGGGACTGGCACCCGAGATTCTCTTGGAAAATGATAGAACATGGGGCACTCCAAAAGGGATACCTCCCTGGCTCACCAGGGTGGTGACCCGCTTCTCACCTTCTCATCCCGCACGAAGCAGGGAATCCCTGATGATCGTGACTGCAGGACTGGGACCACCCTAAGAATCATGGACCCTCAATAGGGTGAAGGTTTTGAGGGGCTGATTCAGATGGTCGATTCGGCTTAAGGAGGCTCTGCACATCTCAGGTGGTGCAGGAGTTGGTTCACTGCGAAGGTATACAGCCAAAGGGATTCCCCGTTCTATCAAATTTAAATGGTAACACTGCAAAGGGGCTTGGAGAAAAAGAACAAACGAATCCCAGTATCCATTTCTAGTGCCCTGTGAACGATTGCGTCTTTCCATGTCTTTCCATGGAACTTGGGATGCTCTTGGAATTGAAACGAGTCTGCTTCGGCCATCAGCGACAACAGCGTGGGGGGGGGGCATCTCCTACAGCGGTCGACTCTGTCCAAGGCACCCAAAAGTGCAAGTGAATGCCCTTGTCCGTCTCCTTGTTGTACTCTCGTCCTCCACCTCATCTTCCAGTCTTTCTTTGGGTCGAGTCGAGTCGCTCGGTTAGCTCCTTTGACCCGGGGCTGACAACCCTGACGAGACCGAGACCTTGCCAGAAATGCACAGAAACCCTGACAAACCACACAGAGTCAGTAGAGTCAGAAGAGGAAAACCATCTTCACAGTACAAAGGGAGTGCTGTGAAAGGGTGCAGGTCCCGTGGTCGTGGTGGTCTCGGTCGCCAAAAATCCAGCTGTGGAAGAATCACCAACATAGCGAACATAGGGAGTAGTTGGAAAAGGGTCGATGTGGATGTGGATTGGATTCTCATGTCACTCACCTCACCTCACCTCACCTCACCTCACCTCACTCATTTAATATGGGTATGTAAGTAAAGAAATCATAAGAACTCACTGACTCTGGGGATGTTGTGGGGCATGTCACTCCGGATGATGCTTCCCACAAAAACCGTTTTGATGTTTGTTTCTTACGCCAAAATTCTCGGTGAGAAGGATAACTCTGGCCGACCAGAGAGTTTGATCACTTCTTCACTCCATCTTCAACTTCACCCCTGGCCGACGGTCAGGGCCACCGCCAGGGCCACCGCCAGCGTCGCCCCAACGAAAAATGGCTTTTGTAACGACCCGCCGTCCCGACGATTTGTCTGTGCCCAGCACCTTCGAGGAAGGCTTCCAAGTCGGTGATATTCTCCACTTCACCTGGTCTTCATGGATCAAATACAGGAAGTTAAATGGTCCAGTGGTCTTTGGCGAAGCATCTGTCTTGGCCCTTTTTGGTGATTGTGAGGTCTGCATGGAATCAAGGGCAGTCCTAATTCGGGAAATTTGCGAAACACATGCACACATACACACAGCAGTCTGTGTCAAGATATCCAAGCATCCAAAACCATCCGCAATAAGGGAAGTTCTTGGTCTAGAAAAGTTTTGTTTTCACGTGTTTTGAAAGCTATTGCAGAGAAAGCACTTGAAGCACGTTGCTGGAACCTCTTTCACCCGGCGATTTGGAGGGAGGCGACCTCTCAGTAGATCTTCCATTACACCCGGGAAGATTAACATGGAACCTGATGGCATGGACCTTTGGAAGACTATTTTCCTCTACAAACCAGTGGTTGTCAGATTCCATGTTAATTTTCCCGGGTGTAATTGTTCATCATGGTTTATCCTCAAAGACTTTGCACAACCCCCGCGCAAGAGTGGGATCAATCCTCCCATCTAGTTTTTGAGGAACCACTAACCACCATGGAAAACCATTCATGACCCTTCCCAATCATCTGAGACACTTTGGGCCCTACAAACTCGTACGAGTACGCTTCTCAGGCCCACTGAGTCAGCTCAGGCCCACTGAACCCTCAAGCCAAGAGGCTGATTCGGATCTCACCCACCTTCTGGTAGGTGTAGGTACAGGTCCACTCACCTGCAATGGTTGACCAGATCCGTAATTTCAAGACACCCCACGGGGCCCCAGGGGAGCTTGGAGGTTCTTTGAGTATATACCTATATCAACTAGAAACATGGAAAGGAGTTGCTTTTTCATCCACCTAGTTTGTTCTGTTTGGAAGAGATCAAACATGATCGAACATCCAAGTCGGCGCGCTTCGAGGCTTCAATGACGGTTTTGGAGGGCATCGGAGGACATGATGGAGCGTTTCTGCTCTCCACTGATTGACAGGGTTTCCACCCCAAACATGGTGGAGAACGCCAACATCTATAGTGCGAAGTGGTGCAAGGCTTCTTTGGCTTCTTGCTTCAACTGCAACTGTGCTGTGTCTCGTTTAGTACAGTAGGTGGTGTTCTTCCAAAGCGAAAGATCAACATGTATCCGATTGACATGGCAAGAACTTGACTAATTTTGCTTGTAACTTTCTTGATTCCTATGAGTTTGTTGCTCTTGGAAATCCACTATCACTATAGGAATCCATATCAATGCTCATCCTTCAGATCATCCAGGACCGCCTCGCCTGTGGGGACCACGCCCAAGGGGCACGCACCACTCGGCTCGTGATTGGAACAATCTCCTGCGGTGCGCTTCTCTCGCCACGCAGAGTCTTCGGGACGCTGGGTCTTACTAGTAGCTTCTTGTTTCTAATAGCTTCTTGTTACTACTAGCAAGGCACTTGTTACTAGAAGCGATGCACTTGTTTCTAATAGCTTCTTGTGACGTCTTTTCCAAAGGATGTGACTTCGGGACGGATCCGGAAAGCTGTCACAGTCGTCTCATGCGACAGGTGGAGTCGTCTCCGATGTGAATATCACGGGAGGGATCCGGATGAACGCGTTGTGCTGGAAAAGTAATTGGGAAAGTGTCTTTGAAGTTTATGCCAAAGGGGGTGAAGTCTTCAAGTCAATGAATCAAGCCTGGGGATAGGAAAAAAACAAGAGGTAAAGCTGTCCTGTATACTACAGCTGAATGCACCTGGATGTAAATGAGTACCCGAGATCAGAAAAAATGTTTGCCACTATAATCATGCTGGATATACTGGTGAATAAAATAGGTTTTGGCCTGTCGGCAGAAACAAATCAGATCGTGATTCACACAACCTGAACCATGGAGTCGATTGGAACAGCAACCAAGAAGTAGTTGTCCATTCCATTTCCCCTTTGAGGCAAGAGTGCAACAGGGGCGATCGTTAATACGGACTACACTGTGTAGTTGCAGCTACATTAATATATCAGTTTGGAGTCCCGCGTCATGTATAGTATAGTAAAGACAGTCTTGCTTATGTAGGTCTCCAGCTGAAAAGGGACATGTTCAACAACATGTTCCTCTTGTTGGATCGTCTCACCTTTGATCCAGTGCTTTTAGAAGTGACACATTTATATAGACTGGTTGGCCACCAGTCGAAGGTCAATGATTGGTGCGGGAATCTACCCTCATGAGTTGTACCAAGCATTGGGGTCCCTCTCTTTGGCGAAAAGAAGAGACAAACTAGCTCACAAGGCCAACAACCCATGTTTGCAAGGCTTTCTTGTGGTTTGGCTGTGGATCAAAACTGTGAGAGGTCCTTTCTTGAGTTTGGAGACAAACATGCTTGGACCATTCTGAGTGGTTTCCAGCGCACTGTGTTTATATAACTATTTCCACCTATTGCCTCTCCCTCCGCTCCTTGTTGTTGCCAAAACTTCACGCTGCTACACCTGCAAATGGTGTCGGAGGAATATTGGGCAAAGAAAGCATTTGGAGCCAGTCAAGTCGGTTCTCCTAAATTTGTTTTGGAAGTTCATCGATTGAGGGACCCTGTTCTTTTTGTACAATAAACTCAGTGAAATCTGGCGTTCATACTTTCCAGGAAACCATGCTTCCTCTACTGAGACAAACGCCTCTCAAAAAAGTCATTTGATTCAACTGGGACTTTGACAGGGGTTCTTGGACAGTGTTGAGATGGACAACAAAACGGCCGGCCCAAAAAAGCATCGACACCATTCAGGATCCAGTGATGGTGATGGCCCAATACCCTTGCACCACCACACATCAAATAAACATGCTTAGCCGTGGCATGCACCACCAAAAAGGCTTGTGGGTCCCCTATGTTTGAGCCTAGCCATTGACAAACAGTAAACATTGAACAATCTACGAGGTGTGTTTGTGCAAGTTCAGACCTGTAGCCAACACAAGCAACTCTGAAATTTCTGATTCATGTGTACTCCTGTCTGTGAGCCTGCCAATGTAAGACCTCCATACGTAAGCGGTGCCATATGTTTCTTTTGGGGTAGTTATATATAATATATGGTCATATTCTTGGCATTGGCTCAGGGCTGCAGAATTTGCAAACAGCAACTTGATGCAATCAAGCAGCTTGCCGGGCAAGCTATACCAAACAGCCTCGAGATGGGCAAACGCCACTGCGCGGCAGAATGACTTTCAGTAAAATATGTTGCAAATAGTCCAGAGTGGTAAATGTGCTCTAAGTTTTCAAGTCGAAAAGCACACGCCAAGCCAGGCGTGTTTTGGAACCTGATGACTTTTAATTTGGAACACCCCCTAGTCTCAAAACAGCGGTCCAATGGATTCCAAATGTCAATAAAAACTTACATAAATGTATAAATAGACCTCCAAGAGCCACCAAATAGATAGAAAAGTAAAATGTCCGTTTCAAAATGTATTGGAAACCGTTTCTATCTATTTGGGGGACCACTATATACTATAAATATACTATAAATTTATAAGTGTTCAATTTGCAAGAAGACGTTCAGTCCCGAAACCACTCCCAGTGAAGAAGCAACGTGCCGGACCTCACGAAACCACTCCGCCCTTCGAACTGAGCTTGTTCTTATGTATGTTGCTCTTTGCAACAGTCTGATTGCTGGCTATTCACCGCTTTGTCTACTTGTTGGTTGAGACAAGAATGGTAGTTGCCACAGTGTCATCAATCCTGCTGTGTCATGATCCTTCTGCGTGCTTCAATCCGTTCGTGGCTGATAGGGCTTTTTCCGTAGAACGTGACACTCCCTGGAACTAACATGGAAGTGGAGTTCACCCCTGTTTGTAGATTTCAGATGATTTCATGGTCTTCCGAACTCGGGGCCATGCCATCCACTTCCATGTTAGTTCCAGGGACTTCCAACCGAATCTGCAACCTCCGTCACGACTGGCTGATTCAGCTGATTGGCTCCGATCACCATCCCTCGCGCATCCCTCGGATGGATAATGATGGATACGTATCAACAGTGGATGATGGACAAGGAGAATCAACAGTGGATACATATCAACAGTGGCAGTTCATCGTCTTGTGTTGCATCAACAGTGGATGATGAACTTGCAAGTTGCTTCAACAAAGGAGATGGCTGGGCTCGGGATCTGGACACTTGAAGCAAAGCCCTTGCCAGCCTGCGGCAAGACCTTCCTTGCTCAGCTTACACACGCAGCTGGCAAAAACAAGGTGCATATCCAACCTTGCAGCTGTAGAATTGCTGCCGGTGCCAATCATTGAACATCCCACACAGCCCTGTAGGTCACCAATGCCTGTAGGTGACAGCACTGTATTTGAGCTCTTCCCTCTTCCATCCTCTTCCTGTCACCGATGCTCCACGAGTTCGCTCCCTTGTTCGCTCAGGTCGCGGTGGGCTGAGCTGAGGTCACGTGGGAGCATACATGGTCTTCGTTCGTGGATTCTCATAGCAACGTGCTGCAACCTGTCTCTTCTCATGCACCGCATACAGTCTCTGGGCCTATTATTTAATGCACTCCGTTCACATTCGATCAAATACGCAGCAAATGCGCTCGCACGAAAAAACTGCCAGTAAAAGCCCCCCCAGTAAAAGCACGTGGAAATAACTCGCTTCGGTCATGTCTGGAGCCACATGCCCAAGCCGCAATCTGCGAATTCCTGCATATTGAGCCACTTGGCACAACCGTGGTTCCAAGATCCTGCGGACTTCAATAGCTCAGAGAACTTCCCGCCCCAAGCACCTCAAACAAAATTCACCCCGAAATGCTCCAAATTAGGAAAAACATTGCAAAACCTCTTGTTGCCATCACCAACTGCCCAAGAAAACAGCATTTCAATTGGATTTATTTGGGGCCGCAGTTGATCAAGGGGGGTTATCATTTCATTAGGTGGACATTAACCCGGTGACTCTCATCTCCTCTTTACTCCAACGGAACATCCTGGTTGACCAAGCTGGGTGATCCTGATTGATACCCAAAATGCCACACAGGGCCGCTACCGAAGCCTCCGACCCGGTGCGCGGTTTCGAACCCGAACCGACCAAGCAGCATTGGGATAGACGTTCTTGCCCGTCCATTGGCCATGCGGAAAGTTGTTGCCCTGCTTGGGATCCCAAGATTCCTCACATCGAGGTCGCTGAGCGGTCGCTGCGGCAGGGCCACCAACACACCGTCTTCGGTGCTCAAACGCCCATCTCCGTGCTTTGGTCGGGTGATCTCCGTCAAAAGATGCTTGGAAGATAATTATTCAGAGGCTTGGATGAGAAGACATGCAGAAAAACTCTGCGGTCCATGGTCCAGCCTTCCCTGAATTACATTCGGATTTAGAAAGAATATGTAATATACAAAATCAAACACACACACACACACCCATGGCGCCATGGCAAAGGCAAGTTCGCCAAGTGGCGCAACCCACCACGGGGCCATACTCTTGGAGGTTTTCGCCTCGGGCCGATCGTTCAAGCTCTCCCGAGTTCAAGAAGGTTGAGACCGTCGGGCTTTGGAGACATTTTGAGAAATTGATGTTGACAGGAGAGAAATACCCTCTTTCACTAGTCCAAGCTGTATGTCTTGAATTGTTTTGATGTCCAAATACTTCTTGATAAATATGCCGTGCGTTGCCATACATGGTGTTATCTGGGGATTCCACTTGGGCAGCAACCACCACCCACGCAATCTTTCCTGTCTTGGAGATTTTCTACCCGCTGCTTGAAAAGAGCCCTCAAGACATGGGTGGCATGTTTTATCCGAAAATCAGCGATTCGTGAAAGCTGAATGCTTGTTGGCTTGAAGGTTGTTGGGCAGAATCATCATCAGCTTTTGTGCTTTCCATACAGAGATTCATCCTCACAATAGCTCATGAAATGTGCACAATGGTGCAGCGCCTTCAGGTAATCTTGCCACAAAATACTGATACTGCGCCACCTGAAAGATGAGGCTCCACGGCCAGCAAGGGTGTATCCCCAGATAAGAGCTACTGTACTTTATACCGGATTAGATCATGAAACTATGTTGGTACGACTGCACTGAAAGAAAAAGCCACCTCACCATACTTCAATCCCTGGGATCCCAGAGAGTGCGGGCCGTGAAGACTTCGAGCTCAACACGTCACAAAGGAGCTCAGCTTGCACCACTCGTCACGGTGAAAACAAACACACACGGGGAGCGTGAGCCGCGTTTGCAGCCAGGTTCGCAGCCAGGTGGCATTTGTAAGGTCCGGAGCATTTCCCAAGGTCATAGGTGTTTACCACCTCAAGGTGGACCAGGACCGCGCAGTGGACCAGGACCGCGAAGTGACGAAGTGGACCAGTTCGTTTTGACGTGTTTGCCGAGGAGGACTGTGAACAGTCTCCCGTTTTGGCCCGCCCTAGGTGACAATAAAGAATGGGAGAAAGGAAAGCTGTACCCTCATTCTCAAAAGGTACTTAGACGAGTTAGAGTTAGAGCGCAACGGGCGCCTGCTGCATTTGCAAAGAGAAACCTCGCCTACGAGGAAACCTGAGGATGAGGGCACCATGGCTTGCTTGGATGGACATGATCTCCTTATCCTTCTCACTACAGCCATCTAGAGCCTATTGGGTGGAATTGTTGGGAACCGATCCAAAAAGACAATAGTCTTTTGACCGACAATTCCCACTTCGTCTGCCATTGACATGCAGTATGCCCACTTCGTCTCAGGTTGCCCATTCGAATTTTGAAAGTCCTTCTAAGAACGGCCTTGCGATCGAATCCAGTGCCCATCTGTTAGCAAGAGAAAGGAAACAGTTCCTGCTCTTTCAATCAATGTATCTTTGGAAAGTAATCCAGAGATATATTCACCTGATTCACAGGAAATCCTCTGTTTGCTTCAGGAATTCCCAACCCCAAAATCCTATCTCGTTTCAACACATTCAAGTCAGCTTTCTTTTTTGAGTCCGTGGAGGTTGTACTTGGAAGATCTGGACTGAGCAATTCTCGGTCCACCGTGACTTTGAGGACCCTGCGCCGAAGTTCATGCCTGCGTCTGGCTAAGACCACGTGCGGAAAGGATCAACAGCATCGCAGGGAAAGTGGGCATGTAGCTGTGGGCTTGCAAGACCATCAAGGTATCACTTGCCAAATGCAATGTGCTACGTCGGCAATTCCCAGGGTCCTTTGCTTGGGGTCCTGAATAGTTTCTGGCTATGGCCAGATATGACTCACAGAGAAAGCTAGAACTGGAGGTACTTTTTGCAATGAGAATCAGGTGTGAACTTGCATTTATGATGAGACAAATTGCCATAGCTATTGGCAAGCAGTTTCACGGGCTGTTATTTCTGGAAAGCGCTTCTTATGTGTTTGGGTGAAACCATCCAAACATTGGGTGGCTCTTACAGCCTGTCTTAGAAGGACATCCTTGGAAAGTGTTTCAAGCATTTTCAGATATTCGACTTCCTCACGAAGGTGCCCTTGTGTTGAGATATCCAGCACATCCAAGGCTGACGCTGGTGTTCAAGCCATCGGATGCTACCAAGATCTGCATAGAAAGGTTCCTGGGTTCTGGCCCTTCACTGAAGATTCAAATGACTCCTTCCTGAAAACTCAGGCACCACCACTCCCCCGTCAGTGACGGTGCTTGCTCAAGTAAACAGCACAGACTCTAGATAGATGTCCCAAACACAGGTGTCCAAAGGATTCTCAGAAATCCATTCAACCAGCACTTATCAAAACAAGTCATGTTTGCCCTGCCACACTGCAAAAATGGTCCGCTTCTCCCACAGCATTCGTGGATCGATGCATTTTTGGTCCCCCCAAAAGCAGCGCGCCCCAAACATCGCCGTCCCGGGTCTTTTTCGAAAAGAACATGACCCAACTGCCATGCACAAAAAGTAATGTGTTTTTCCCCCCGTCCACAAAAGGAAGCACTCGGCACTCGCCCCCCAGCGTAGCGAACACCGGCGAAGCAAGCCACTCCGGCAAACTCGGCGCCTTTGTCGTAGAGCTCCTGGGAGGCACGGCTGAAGACCAGGAAGCGCTCGATGCCTCAGAAGCAACGCAGCCGGGAGCCTGGAAAATGCCACAGCCGCAGCCAGAGACAGCTCGGTATGGTTTGGAACAGGTTTTATGGTTCTGAGGTGCTTCTTCTAGACAGACATCCATGGACAATGTATGGACCATGTAGACATCCTTTCGGTGGGGCTTCTGTGGAGATAGAACATGATTGATATGAGTTGAGTGATTATATAATACATCTTTAATTGACAACACTTTGTTTAATCTAATTTGGGATCAATCAAAGCTAACAAGATCTATCAAGATAACTTCTGTTGTTGTGTTTGTTCCGGCATTGCTACCATGTGAGTTTCAAATGTTAGTATCAACGTTCTAGCCCATCAATATGACCAGAACTCGTAGTCGAACTATGCAATCATGTTTCCTCAAAGTGATCCCCTACTCTATTGCAAACACAAAGAGAGAGAGAGAGAGAGAGCTAAATTCACTGCACAACTTGGCTCTTGCTGGGACCTTGTGCACAAACACAAGGGATGATGTACCTCGGACTTGATCTGATCATTCGGACTCGGACGAAGGAAGCACATGTTCTGGGGAACCACCACCACCAATTCTGTGAAAACCATGGATCGGAACCGTGCGAACGGGTCGTTGAATGCCAAGGTCGGTGCGTGTCTTGGGCGTGGAGGCGAACGTGCCAGCCCTGGCGGAAGTCGCGACCCAATGGACCAGAAGGAGGCAAACAAACGTAATTATACTGTATCCAATATGTTTCATATAATGGTTGACTTATTCATAAAATCTTATCTGAACATATATTTTACATTGACATTGTTATATGTACTTATTTACTCTTATTTTATAGTGTTCTTTCTTTGTTTCTTCCAGCCATGTTCGGAATCGACAGTCGAAGACTGGCAGTTCAGACCACCAGTGGACCAAGGGTGAAAGATCTTGGGAAAAATGCTGTGAAGCTATCTAATGTGTGTACTTCACAGTAAGGAGATTTTCAGTTGAGGAAACATCGACCATTTCAACCCGCCGCGGAAACGCCACTTTTCCAAAGGGTTCCGTTCCAACACACCCACGCAACGTTGAGAGAGGGCCATGGCAGTGTCTCTCTCCGAAAGCAACTGAAGGTTCAGACCGAGTTGCGCATAATTCAAAGGCTTCAAAGGTGGAAATAGGAAATGGACATTGATCTGAGAATCAATCATTGATCAACCTTTCTGCAGGAAAACAAAAAGAGCGAGTCCAATGTGCCCGCATCTAGTTCATTAGTTTGTTGACCTCAATCTCCTTGAGGAAACAACCCCGTCATTCCAACAAATCTGAAGCGGGCCGCAGTGGAAGCTTGGTAGAAGTTGTTTGTTCTTTCCAAAGCTAAAGGTGTCTGGTGATGTTTGATGAGTCCAGCAGCTGCAATGAAACCTGCATCGAGTCCTCGAAGAACTAATCAATGGAGCCTCTTCAGTTGGAAACTGAGAAATGAACCATGATAGGAATCGATGTTGTCTGTGCAGCAAGGGAGTGCAAAAACCATGTGCCAGGCCTAAAAAGGAATGTAGGCCGCATGAACCAGTGTCTTGACCTTTCAGAGTTCGTGCATGTGCATGTCTCAAACGAGCCATAAAAAGCTACTCCCAACCATTGGAGGTCTGCTGTGTTCCTGACCCACGCAACCCCCTGCGTATTGGTGATCCGCAAGACACATCCCCCCTGTGGGTGTGCACTGGTCGGCGAAACCCGTCTCCGTCCCCCTCGCCTCAGCCAATGGTGCCACACGATTTCCTGGTCGCGAAGACGGAGCAACGACGAGACCTTCAACACCCACCGCTTCCAACTGTATGTACCGTTGAGCCAGGCCTAGGCCCTTGTTTACGAGTTTTTCAAAAAGAACAAAGAAAAAAACAGCCACTCTTTCCTGGCAGATTGTCTTTTGTACTTGGAACCAAAGAGCCAACGTAACGATGGAATCAGCTTTGTTGCAAATAGCAGTGTGCTTTCGACTGCTCCAGGAAGTTGAAACATGTGGGTGTCTGCATGCTCGTTGGGCACATGCGGACTTGGTGCAAGCGGAACGTGCATGGGCGATGCGGAACGTGCATGTTGTGTGAATGCGGAACGGCCAGTCCCATCATCCCAACTGGTCAGACCTGGAACGCAACAAATTGATTACAATTGTTTCTTTCCTTCACGAAACGTTGGGTGTAACATTGAGTGAATTCTCCTGGTCCATCCGACTGTGCGCCCGTCGATTGCAGCGTGAAAACGCTGGACGTGTTTGACCGTTCGCCGCTGGGGCATCTTGGAGCTTTACATCGCGGGATTGACCCCAAACATGTATATATATATATATATACCTGGACCCTCCAACAGGTCTCCTTTGGAGGGTTGGGAAAGGCCCTAAACAGGTTTCAATTGGTGACCTGTTGGAGGGTGCTGGTATATAAATATGTCTAGATTTTACATGCCAGGGACGGAATCTGTGTCCAATTTGTGGATGATGGGCTGAGGATGAAACAACTTGACCGAGGGTAAACAAAAAGCAGTGATACAGGGACAACGCAGGTTCCAAACCTTAAACTCCTTGGAATTTTGGACTCTCAAAGGAAGAAAAGGAGGAAACACCTTTGTGGAAAGCGGCAATGAATTCTGTAGAATGATTGAAGCGGGAGTCTGATTCGTATCTAATTCTTATCACTTGAGTACATCTTCCAGGCGTGATACAGCTCCAAGTTCCTGTTTTTACATTAGTTCGGCTTCTTTTTTTGGTTAACCCTGCCAGTTCAGCACGACTCCGCACGCAACACGGTAGCGACTCTGCACTGCGCCGGGCGGCGTTGTGGAGGTACCTAGGTTCCACCGCGCAACGCACGCTGGGAAAATGATGTATACGAACATTCGGGGCGCCGGATGAACGTTCGGAACACATGAAAGCTGTTTGGGCCAACCTGTTTTGGGCAGATGAACGTTCAGGGCAGATGAGCCTTTGGATCTTCTTGGGATCAAGAAACATATGTTGATCCCTGACGGTTCAGACGCTTCCAGTTTTCCTCACACGGCATCCCAGTGTGGACTGGTCACCGGTCACCAAACATGGCACCCCAATATGACCAGAGTCTGGAAACCTCAAGGTGGTGCCTCAAAATAAACCCAAACAAGATGGTTCTTCTCCAAAGGCTTGTCTCATGCCCATGAGATCTATACAACATAGTTGCAGAGCAATCAGAGTTGCTGTCCAGGAAAAGTCCCCGCGCCCCTACCCAAATAGAGGGTGTTACCTGCTTTTTGTTGAAACATCCTTTGAACCAAGATGCCACAAGGCTCCAGCAATGTTGGCCATGTTCTGATTCTCCGGGGAGTAGTCCTGCACGAGTCGACAGCGCTGGTGCACCGTCAAGGCAAGGCCAGCGTTAAGGGCTTGGTGCTTGGATGCTCTGTCTTTGAATGCTATCCAAATACTGCCAGAAATAACTCTGGCGCGTGTCATCTTTCAAAACTCAACGGCGCAGGGGCCCAGGGGGGGATTGAACAGCTTTTTCCCACAGTTTGTGTCTGGCAGATGTGAGTTTGTTCGGTCTATCCTATGACATCCAGAAGCATGTGTGGACAGGACTGTTCCCTCATCTCAGCACCAATCCATCCCATGGGCAACCATGAACCACCCGATTCACCGCACATGTCTGGCAGGTGCCATGCCAGCCTCCCACCGTCCATACGCGTCGTCATGCCGACACTAAGCTCGACTCCTCGATATGCGTATCGCACAGTTGCCTAGCGCTCATGTTCTGGCAACCTGGAACCGCGTATCGAACACCCAGCATTCACCGCGGGCCACTTCGCCAGAACGGGTCCTCGTCATTCTGCACTCGGTACATGTAGTAGTGCATGATGGGCGCAGTGCTCACGCGTCCACCAAATCTGCCCTGGGCGTAAATGATCCAACTTGAGCATGGAAAACCCTCAAACTGCCAGGTGATCAAGTGATCATCTGTGTCCAATTCTTTTTCACGGCAAAGCAAATACACATATAGATAGAGCATGATAGAGCCTTCCAAGGTTGGCATAGCCTAGCATGCCGGAAGTGAACTGAAATTCTTTGTTGATGGGGTTCTGGACACCTCTGCAAACATAAATATCTACTGTAACGTTTTTCGAGTATGTGACCTTCAAGTGCGAAGGGTGGTGTGAAATGACGCACACATATAGAGCGAGAGAGATTGTGTTCCTCGCGTCAAGTGGACGGAAACGCTTGATAATTGCCAATGGCAACATCGTAATGCTTGGATTCTTCCAGATTGTCAGTGAACCAGAATTAACTCACTTGATCCATATAGATGGCACCCTTCAATGTGTGATGATGGATTGGATTGGAAAAGGCCTGAAACCCATCTTGTTCCATTAGATTGATTGGATTGGCAACCTGTGAATTGAGCATTGCTCCAAACCTATCGAGAATTTGCTCTAATGGGCTCTGCTTTCGCAAGTTCCTTTCGCAACACTTTCGCGGCTTGCGTTTTGGCTTTCGCGCGCTGCATTCTGTGCAAAAACACTTGCGCAAGCTTTCGCGCACGGAACTGATTTCGCGAGCTTTTGCCAACTTTCCGGAGCTTTCGCACACTTTCGCCAATGAAAAGTTCGCACAATCTTTCGCGGATCTTTCGCGACTGCGTGTTTTAGCTTTCGCGAAGGCATATTACATTAACCTCTCTTCAAATTGTTACTTGGGATGTTTTGGCCACTGCTCAATTGGATTGCTCAAATGAAATGCATGTACCATCTATTCTTCCATACACTCACCCACTGATCATCTTGCTCCACACACCCACTGATCATCTGGCCCAGCGTCTGTGCGGCCGATAAACCTCGGTTCCGACGGATGGGATGAGGTCCAAATGCTTCGATCCAAGATGGGATGACTCTCCGGCAGCACTTGGAGCAACCGTCTGAGTTTTGCCTGGCTTGGTGTGTGTTCCTCCAGCTTCTTTATTTGGATGAAGTGGTTTCCAGCATGAATCTAGAATAAAACCAGAACCGATTCTCTTGCAACTCGTTTCTATGACAAAGAAGCCTGCACTAAGTCACAGCTGCACGCTCTCAAAATTGAGAGCCAAGGAGAAGAACAAGCAATCTTAGCCAATAAAGATGCAACACAACATGTGTCATTAGGTATATCTAGAATGTATGTGCAAATTAGCACGTGAGTTTGTGTCCAAACTTAGTTGTGCACATCCAGGCAGAGAGAGGAAACAAGGATCGAAACATTGTGCTTTCAGATCAAAGGTCAAATGGATTGTCGATTATTACTATCATTATTGTAACATTGTGATATTCCCGCTTAGACTCAATAATTAGTGGAGTGGAGGGACTGGGAGCCCCGTAACCTCTGGCACTTACATTTTGTCATTTGGAGGAGAAGTGGAAAAGCTCCACTGGTACTAGAGGAAGTCCTGACCAAAACCTACTTGTTTCCTCCAACTTCAACGTTGATGGCAATGAAACACACTTGGTTTAAAATTCTGTACATGCGTTGCACTGACTAGCTTCCACCCTTGAGTGTGGGTCCCTCACTGAAGGGCCATAGTAAAACAGGAGGTGTCACACGAGGTCCAGGTCACATACTGTGCCAAAGCCATACACCGCCACTCCTATTAGTTCACCGGTGAGATCCCACCGACCAAAGGACTGGGTCACCCGAACGAATCAAAGTTCCGTTGGATGGTGTCTGGAAGAATGCCACCTTGCAAACGCAAAGATATGCAAAGGGGTCACGACATCACTTTATTAGTTGTGCCCCATTAACATTGAATTGGAGATCAGAAAAGGCTTTCCAAGGCCCTCTTTACAAAGGGATCCTTTTGCCTTTCCATGTTAGTAAACAAAGAGAGGGCACAAGCAGAATATGTATGACAAATGCGCCTGCTGCGGTCGCTCAAAAATTGTTGAGGGGTTTGGCTTCAATCCTCATGGCTGTAGTGCCATCCAGCCATGTAAACGTCGACAATCAGCATCTACATCCACCCCCAACAAAGCAATTGAACATACTTGAACCTATGGAGCCTGGAGCCTGGATGGAGCCCTGCTGATATGGTCAAGGCAAACATCTGTGATCGGGGGCGCTTCGCATTAATGATTGTAATGATGGTGCAGCTGCATAGGACCCAGCGAAAAGTCCCCGGCACCCTGAGCCGGAACCAAATAGTTAAATATATAACCGTCGGTAGTGATCGAAGTAGCCGTCCACAAACTCGTCACAGACATCTCCTTTTCACCACAGGAATACACCAAGCACACCATCCTCGCCCCACGCTCCCAAAAAGACCCGAGGAAAAAAAAACACTTCGCATCCGCAGTTCGCCTAGGAGGAAAAGCATGAGGATCAACACCATGATGCCTCCCACCACTCCCTTAGTCGCACGCCATCCATCGCTATGAGACGAATGTCCGCCATCCATCACCATTGGTCCAAATCCGGGGACAAAATTACAAATCAAAGCTGTTCTGCAAAGGATGTCATGTCTTCAAACTTGTTTTTGTTCAAGGCGTTTGAGAAAGACTGAGGCTCTTCAGAAGTGCCCTCCCCGGAATTCAGGTCCTTGGAAATTGGAAAGGTCTTTTAAGAGGAGAAGCTAAGAAAACTTAGAACAAAGGGAACGCCAGCGCTCGGTTTTCATTGGTTTTGGAGAGTTGTGGGTGATTTCAACTGGTCGTTTAGGCTTGGTCAAGGCATGTTGTTCAATCTAGCCACAGTGAGAACAACAACGGTTCCCAGGCTTGGTACTTTCCTCTGAGTGATCTAGCCGAACAAAAAACAAAAAAACAAAAAGCAAGACAACGTCTATCGGCCGGTCCGTGAACTCGCGTCCAAGTTGCCGTAGATACCATGAGGTTGGACTTCCCTGTTGCAGAGTTGTCAAAGGTTCCGAGAGGGCAGAGGTGGTTTTCGAGATGTTCGGAACTTTTCGGACACTCGATTCATGATGAAGATGACTCTTGCACTTCACACTTCTGAGAAGGGCGAGGGAAAGCAAATTAAGGGGGGTCCGTTTGGGCAAGAACCTTGCAAAAGGAGAGGTCACTGTTGTACCATGTTGTACCTAGGTGTGGGGATTGATCTTTGACTTCTTGGGCCCAAAGCCGTGTCGAAAACCTGTTGGAAATGGCTTTGTAATCCCAGCATCCTTTCGCGACAGGCTATCGCGGTCCTTTCGCGACCGCAGTCTTACCTTTCGCGGGCATACACTATTTGATACTATTTGCTCAGTCCTTTCGCAGGACCTTTCGCGAGAGAAGTTGAAAACCACACATATAGCTTGACTTCGAGTGATCCCGACCATGACAATTCAGTGTGATTGTGTGTTTTGCGTTGAGCTCCGGTAGTGTCCACTGCGATCTGGCACTTGCAGTTGAGGACCGGTAGCGCCCGCTGCGATCAGGCACTTGCAGGAGGGAAAGGAGGAGGAGGAGAACCCCCTTGAGAAGAGCTCTGATAAAATCCAACAACCCTCACCTCGCGGCAGGGAACAACATGTGTATACCTCTACTTACACATAAATCTATATTGCCTCCTTCTAGCAAATGTTCCTTTTCACGTGGCAAGTAGAAAATGCAAATCGATGGGCTACATCCTGAACATGGAATCGTCACCTTTCTCGAGCCTTTCGCAAACCTTTCGCACGCCTTTCGCGGATTTTCGACCTTCGACTTCGAGAAACCCGTGGTTAAAACATGGTTTCTAGGTTTCTGTTAATTGTATTTTATTGTGAGAATTCCTTGACTGCTATCTGACTTGCCCACCATGGGCACTGGTGCAATACAGAAAGAATCGTTCAGTTTGGGGCTAGAAACGTCCTTGTATATATTTACGCAAAGCTCTCATGGTGACAATGGCGATATTGCATCAAAGCAGCGTAAAAAAAACAGCTAGCACTGGAAACAAATCCTACATATCATCCAAAACGTCCTTTCGCATACTCCTTTCGCAACCATTTGTTCATAATGTCTTTCGCAACAGCTTTCTGGAAGCTTTCGCGACTTAGGTGTTGCCTTTCGCGGGGGTTATGTCAGGACAACTGCATTACAAAAACTCTTCATGGAGGGTTTTGACGTGGCTCAAATGGGGATCCAGCAATTTGTGCTTGATTATTTTTGTCTGACATTTTCTCCTACTCGCTGATGAGTAGTACCATGAAGGAAACCAGGACAGCACGTTAAAAATATTCTTTAGGATCGGTTCTGAGTGGTAACAATCCTGCAGCTGAAGGAAGAATCCAGCGACATTCTCCTAGCAATATGCTGTAGTATAGGATAGCAATTGCAAGCGCCACTGGAAAAGAAGAAACAACAAGCAAGTTGTGGAATGTTCTAAACAACAAACTCCAGAAAGCCCTGATCTATTCAGATCCATTCTATAGCACTACCCACTGTCCATCTAAATCGCAAGGAAAATGGACACTCTGATGACTCAAGTCAGAAAGACTGTGACAAGATGCTCGCAAAAGGCTGGGGTATATACCGAGGGTGCCAAGGACTTAGGAACCAAGAAACATCAAGTACCAAAATCAAATCCTAATGAAGCTCCCACAATACAGCATGTGTAGCCATAAGTGTCAAACATACATGCTCCCACAGCTGCGACAGAATCTACGAGGAGTCACAAAGGGGTGATATAAACACTCACTTAGGGACTAAACACCACCCCTTTGTAACTCCTGGTATATAGATACAAGTGGATCGCTACTAGTAACAAGTGCATCGCTAAAACCTACTAGTAACCAGAGCATCGTTAGTAGTAACAAGAAGCTACAACCAACAAGTGCATCGGTACTAGTAACAGTAAAAAGAAGCTACTAGTAACAAGAGCATCGCTACTAGTAACAAGAAGCTACTAGTAACAAGTACACC